CGCAAACATATCACAAACGTGTGTCCCGTTCGCAAACAGTTGGCCACCGACTCGGCTGACGGTCCCGCAGATGACTCACAACCGCTGACGTCGACACCGATTCCCGAGCGTAAGTCCCCGGATGGCGACGAAGAGTTGATGTCCACATCGGAGGTGCAGATTGTGATCAAACAGGAGGCGCCAGACGTGTACTCTAAGGATAGTAACAATAATAACAGCGATGGCACCACCAAAGGCAGCGTCAATGAAGAGGTGTTGGACAGCGAGTCCAAAGCGGACGAAGATGACGATGTGATGGACGTGTCGAGTGTGTCACCAAAAGATGAGTCCAAACTAGACTTATGGCGCGTTAAACAAGAGAACCCACAGTTTGCCTTCAAGGGGTCTCCAGGTATGCCATCGTTTTTATTGTTTTGTTAAATTGTCTTATATTTCTGGAATATTCTATAAAATTGGTATATTTACGGTAATAAATACATGCTTTGAGGCTTTGATTAGTGTATGAACTCTACAATGAACTTTTTCTAATGGGTTGCTTGACACTATAGTCTAATTGCTTAGTGACTATTCTGTAGTCTAATTTATGAATGTTTTCCAAATGCTATGAATTGTACAGAACTCTTACGTTTGAATTCTTGGCATTAAAACCATGTTTTTCTAAAATACTATTCATTGTCTCACTCTATAACCAAACCCTCTCTTAATGCTATTCTTTGTCTTATGAAATATCTCTTATCTTATTGTTAATTATATTTTTTGTAAGCATTTGACTGTTTTTGCATTGCTTTAAGAACTAACACTAAGAATAACACATTTGATTGTAACATTAAATTTTGTTGTTTTTTGTTGATTTGTATATTGACTGTCAATTGATTGCTAAATGCCTTCCCATTCAGCACAACACCACTCATGTCCGTACTGTCAGAGAGGGTTCACATATTTGGCTAATTATAGGAAACACATCAAAAGCATTTGTCCGATTCGGCAACAGATCGATGAGAAGAAGAAACAAGTGATTGAGGACTCGGCCCAACAGCTTAACGCCGACGGCTCCACCACCGGGTCCGCCAACAAACTTATTAAGACAGAACTGCCCCCAACTCTCGTCTACACCCCATCCTCGCTATCAGTGGTACGGATTTTTTCATATATTTTTTGTGGCTTTTATTCTCAAGTTATTGTTTGTGTTGACAGAGGAGTCAAATCGAGGACACAGTACTGACTCTATTGAGGGATCAGACAAAACAGGACCAGATCTTGCAGTCGTCCGAAGATCTCGTAAAATTCAAGTCGACCCCCAAAGGGACCGATGACTCGTCTGTTGGGCAACAGTCGGCCCAAAGCGGTGACACCGAAGGGAATGCTAATGAGAGCGTCAAAGACGACTCGAATGCCGACTCAAAAGGAGACGAATCGTCGAATCAGACCAAAGATAATGTAAATAATAACGAATTGACACAATCGTCTACGAAGACACCGTCGAAGGGCTCCTCCTTTCGGTTTCGAACATTTCCGTGCAATATATGTCACAAAATCTTCTTATCATACGTCGCGATGCTTAAGCACCGGCTCTCACATAAGCTGTCGGGCGGATCAGCCGCGGCCGCTGCCGACGACAACGCAATCTCTGACACCAATGAGTTGTCGGCCGATAGGATGTTGTCGGACAACGAGTTGGTTGAGTCGAATCGGGACAAAGAGGCGGCCAATCAGGCGTTGGCCGCGAGTATACTCAAGCGATCCAAAGATGTGATATTCAGCAAAATGCGGGTCAACTCGAGCGCCAGTACCACCGGTAAGACTACCGGCTCTTCCCCTAAATCAACGGCCATTAAACCGATAATAAACACAACGGATCTGTTGGAGAAGTTGGCGCGCGGGGGCATCACTACCGACGCCATACAGGAGTTGTCCGCCACCACGGCTAAGATCACCACTAAGTCATCGAATAGAAGTACAAAACACAAAGAAGTGATCACTATTGAGACCAATAACAACGACTCGCAGGCGTTTAATCTGCAATTAAGTGCCTCTACTTCTGGTGGTAATAGTCATCGCGTGAATAGTAGTCATAGTAATAGCGGTATAGAAGAGATCATAATCGAGGCCAACAACTTGAATGATCTGGATATCAATGTATTGAAAGACGGTGTTATTGTGGCTCAAGATCTGCAAGAGTTGATTGCAGTGAACGACGGTGTGGTCGCTGCCGACGAGGACTGCGCCGACGGCATCACTAAATGCCCGGAAGTGTTGCTAAACTTGGATGACATCGAGAATGCGAATGAAGTTTGGATTACTATTACCGACTCGAGTGCCTTAATACAAGTGCCCAATCATAATACCAGTGCTAATAGTAATTGCAGTAATAATAGTAGTAATAATAATTGAAAATAAATCTAATTTAAAACTTGTAATAATTAAAACGAACGCATAATAGGAAACACAATATCATTGATATTTAGCTTAAATTTCATTTTTATATAAATCTTGTTTGCATCACTTTTTGGAAATCCATTTTTTCCAATTTCTCTCAACATTCAAATCCATAGGAAATGACATTTCAATTCGCATTCAATTATTAACAATTCATAATAACGTTTGACAAAAATTATGCATTTTTTGACAAACACTTGAATAAATATTTCTTTTATAATGAAAACTTATTTTTAAGAGAATATTAGTGAAAATTAATGTATAATTAGAGTAGTAAAGGAATAATAGGTTTAATGTGGGATTTGTTTTGTATGTTTCGGTGATTATAAAGAATTATTGTTTATATAATAATTAGATTGATATATAAATAGCGATTTGTTTTAAACAACTAATTAATAACACTTTGTTTACAATATTTTTTGCCATTTTCTTCGCTAATAAGTTTTGGCTCAAAATGTTTGTACAAAAGCATAAATAATTAGGAAATATTTGCCTCAATTTTTCAACGAAAACCATTGCCTTAAAGACTAATTTCTTATATAACGAAATGCCTTACTATTTGTGTAACACTTGATATTTTTGAACACAAAACCAACGAATGCTTTATATATTATTATAAATACAATTTTTCTCTAAATATTTCATTTTTTGTCTATTTTCTCTTTTTATAGAAATAATTATAAATAAATATTGATATTATATATAAAGATTATGTTCATATTATAAATATTATACATAACGCATGAATACAGTAATATAATTGTATTTTAAATAAAATTATTTCAAATTAAAAGAATCAAACATTTAAATCAATGTCAAACTTTAATTTTAAAATAATATTATTCTGTACACCACTTTTCAGATTAATACAATAGTTGTCTATAATTCTCTACCCAGATACGTAATTCTACCCGGTACAATAGTAATTTTAATTTTATAAACATTATAGAAAAAATTTAATGGCTTAGAGTTCATTATCACAGAAGTATTCTTAACTAAGTTTTCATTATTAAATTTTAGACAAATCTAAATCTATATCATAAAATTAAATGATTAGTTTCGTGTATTAGTTTATCATTATTTTGAATATGATTTCTTAATGCTATGATTTATGTGTAACATAGATAACTTAAATTAATTTTATATCAAAAGTGATAATTACTTAAAGTAAACCAACAGAAAAATGATGTCAATTTTTTCAAAAAATATGCAGAAAATCAAATGCATATTCAATATAAATTCTGTCAAAACAAATAATTTATGTCAAAATTATTTATAATTTTCTCATAAATCTTAAGAAGATGTTTATTTCACAAATTAATTTATTTTCACGATACAAAAATTATTCCGATCAAAAATAGAAATACACTAAACTAAATCTCCGGTTCATTAAATCCTGTTTTTAAATCTTATCAACAAATCAATGAATGAAAAAAATAGTGTTTGTAATGTCCGGTACAATGAATACCACATTTTTAAGAAAAATTCTTGATTTATTCATTTATTACCAAAACATAGTGTAAAACTATAAAAGCAGTGAATGTACTTTTTATCTAATTCTGTACATTCAGTTCCATAAAAGTACTATTGTATTGTTGTGTACTTTGTTGCCCAATTCTGTAACTTATTATATCAATTTTAATTCTGGGAATATCATACTGTATAAATTATTTAGTATATTAGTCCTACTCTCAAAACTTTTGTCGTATTTGTCACAAAACTCTGCGATAAATAAAACAAATATTAATTCTTAATCTATATAACAATTGAATATGAATTATCATTTCTTATCACTTATAGAGATACTAACTTATTAGTAAGTATACTATGCTCTATATATATACAATTATAACATATGTTTGGTTTAAATGGTGTTTGAAAAAAGAAAAGTAAAATTAATCATTGATTACTGTATAACTATTATATAAATTACAAGTGCTTTCAAATTATGTCAAAACAGATAACTGATTCACTTCCAATGCATTCACCTGAAAATAATGCTATGATTTTCAATAAACAAGTGATTGAGAAATTGTGAACAAATAGATTGAGAAATTCATATAGTTATTAATAATCAATTGTTGCATTTTATTTCATTAATCAATCATTTAATCAAATGTTAAATAAATAGAAAAATAATAAGTTCTTAATTTCAGTGATTGTATTCAATAGTTTTCTAATGAAACGATTAAAATCAAGACAAAGTATTATTCGCATTAAAATGACTTATAATAGGAGTATTGCATTGATTTTCGACACAATTCTTACGATTAGTATTACTACTAATGAATAATGAGTGCAATGTTTGCGATATATCACAGGCTATGGGTTGCGTTGCGAACAACGGATGTTTCAATGCATTTGCGGCCGAAATGCGATTATCTATATTGAGGCACAAGAGTCTGTCAAACAGATCCACGAAATGGCACTCATCCACACACTTAATGGCAAACATTTGACGCACTTTTCTTTTATGCATTTGTGGTAAATAGAGATCAGACATGAAATACATATTATTGACGCCTAAGAGGCTGATGGAGTTGATTGGTCCGCAAAGTTTGCTGATTTGGATCAGCTGTTGATACTCGTCGGTGCCGCTCATCAGCGGTCCGGCTCTGGTCCAGAACTCAGCCATCAGACACCCGATACTCCACATATCAATGGCCGGCCCGTAGAACCGATAGCCGACCAGCAATTCCGGTGCCCTATAGGCCAGTGTCACCACTTTGGATGAGAATCCGCTCCAAGAGATCAGAGACAGTGACTGCGCGAACCCGAAGTCGGCGATCCGTACTTTTCCCGCGGCGTTCACCAGAATATTCTCGGGCTTGAGGTCCCGGTGCAACACTTGGCGCTCGTGTATGAACGCCACGCCCTCCAGAATCTGCTGCAGAATATTCTTGATGTGAGCCAACGACAGCTCCAGACGCATGCCGTATAGGATTTGGTGTAAATCAAAGTCACAGAATTCAAAGACCAGATACTGGGCTATAGTTTGTTCGCAAAGGAGGCGTCTTTTATCACAACTTTTTTGAGCGCATATCGAGTCCTCGGATGAGGAATCAAATCTGTCAATCAGTTCAACGATATTCTTGTGTCTGATTTGATCCAATAGATTGATCTC